AGAGATCAGACACTGAGATCCTACAGTGCGTATCTCAGCTGTAGTCATGGCTCCTCGGAAACAGGCAAATGAACCCAAGGGGGCTTGGGTGTTCTGTGACCTCTCATTACTGCATACTCATATCCTACAGTTAGCCTTGCTGCGATGCCTCTGATATCACACTCACATACTCAGGCATGCACTTATGCATGCACACGTGCGCACACACACGCACGCACACACGCACTCACGCACACACACACACACATACACACACCTGGCAAAGATGACTGTTTCACTAACATTGAGTAACATTTCTTTGCTCATAAAGCACATTACTGTGTATCACAAAATGCACATCTTTCACCCTCTGCACTCTGATTAAAAGAGACTAAAGCATCAGCATCTGTAGATGAAGTGCTCAGAGCCCCAGCAAGATGCTAAGCTGATGTTGGAGCTACAGGGAACCTTCTATGATCCTTAGAGCATTCCAGGGGATGATCAGAGATCTATTGTGTGTCCTGGTCATCAAATTGCAAATGAAGCAGCTGAACACTCAGTGTGCACCCAGGAGTCCCACTGCCCTTAGTGCAGCTCTTCGGTTTGACAGCCACCCCCACACAATGAAGCTAATTTTTTTCCCCACTAGCCATGGCCTTTTGAAACCAAGCAGAGCTGGCTGTGGTTTAACTGCCCTTATTTTCCTTTCTAACACCCTAGCTACCCTTTGTGTTGCCACAATCAGTAAGGGTGGGTTCATTTTCCAGGAAGCAACCACATTGACAGAGCAGGTAAATAAAGATGCCTGAGAAAATGAAGCCATCAGCCACAGCACCACCATCGTGCACACCCTCAGCCCGCAGTGTCCCCTCCTCCCCTGCAACTGGCGCTCTTCTCCACTGCTGAGACTTGAGAGACTCCGGAAGAAGGGTGCTGAGAGATTTGAGACAACAGAGATACTGTGTGTGACTTAGCTAGTCACAGCCTCACAAAGCTTCTGTGGATTGTCAGTTTCCGGCCTCTTCATCTGTTCCTCCCACTGTAGAAATAGTTCCGTGTCTGTGAAGCAGGGCCAGGAGCTTGGCCTGAAAAGGTCTAATCAACTCAGGATCATCAAGTAGTTAACGTTAATCTCTTTGAGTCTCTTGTATTGTTCCAAATGTGCAGCTCTGTTTGCTTTCCAACAGAACCAGCTCTGTAAACTTGGCTGGTTGGAAACAACCTTTCCAACATTTAAGTTAGATATCATTTTCATTCAGATGCAGAAGTTCTAACTTTGTATGTGCCCATTGGAAAAGGTGTGGATCACACGCTGAACTTTCACCCAGATACCACATGTAAAACATTTGTTTAATATCTCTACTTACAGAAATGCAGCATGGCTAGCAGGTGCCAGGCTTACTGGTATTACTGCACAGTAGAAAATGGGTAAACACACCTATAAAAAGGACATATAGCCAGTCGTTGGTGGCGCACGCCTTTAATCCTAGCACTCGGGAGACAGAGGCAGACAGATCTCTGTGAGTTTGAGGCCAGCCTGGTCTATAGAGCAAGTTTCAGGACAGCCTCCAAAACAATACAGAGAAACCCTGTTTCGGAGAAAAAAAAAACCGTAGGACGTACAAATAGACCTTGACCAGATGAGATGCTTATCGTCAGAAAGAATGAATTGCTGCCACAGTAAGATGTTGTTTAATGCTTGGAAAGATAGCATAGTTCTGAAATCTGACAGGCCTTGTGGGGGTTCACATACCCCTGGGCTGCAGAGCTAAGTGCGCTGTCTGTGAAGGGTGACTGTAGATACCGCTTCAGTGTCATGAGATGACATGGATAAGACGATCTGTGATTGCACATATATGCAGGTGTGTGCATGTCCATGTGGAAACAACCCCAAGTGTTGTACATCTTTTTTATTAAGACTGGGACTCTCAGTGGCCTGGAACTCCTCCAGTAGGCTAGGCTAACTAGCCAGTGAGCACCAAGAATATGCGTGTCCCAGCCTTCTCCTGAGATTACAAGCATGCATCGCCGTTCCTGGATTCTTATGAGGGTTCTAGGGATTGATCGAAGCCCTCCTCATTGTAAATTTTGTGAGAAAAATACAGAGCAGTGGACATTTGTAATGGAGAAAGTTCTGAGTTGTGTTGCATAGAAGTTTTCACTTTGATTGGTAACATCTGAAGTAATTGTATTTATAGTTGAGAAGTGTTTGAAATACTGTTTTCCTGTGCACAGTAGGGTGTGTAGAAAAACTTAAAGAAACTTGAGAATGGGATTTTCCCAGCTGTGAGGTGGTTGCAGCACACTTAGCTGTTTCTTAAGGCCTGCCATTGGGCAAGTAACTGGGTAATTACGCACAAGATCTTTTGAAGCTTTGCAAGGAAGGGTACAGTTGCACAGGATTTTCTGTATGGGGGAATATAAAAACTTTATTTTCCCCAAGAAACAGCTGACCTGAAAGGGTTAACTCTTGAATCCCAGGCTGATGCCTGGGAATCCAACATGGGACTAATCAAGACCCCCTGAATGGGGGTGTCAGTGAGGAGGCCTAGGTAATCTATTGAGCCTTGGGCAGTAGATCAGTATTCATCCCGAGTATACACATGGACTTTGGACTCCCATCCAACAATGTGAGGTGCACTCTCACCCTGAACTCTTGTGGGGAGGGTCTAGGCCCTGCCCTGGATGAAATGACAGACTATGGACACCCCCATGGAGGGCCTCACCCTCCCTGGGGAAATGATGGGATAATGGGGGAGTTGGGGGAGGGCATGGGAGGAGGGGAGGGAAAGGGAGAGGGACCTGGAACTGACTTGTGAACCAACCATGTTTCTAATCTAAATTTAAACATAAAAATAAAAAACCACTTTATTTTCTACTGAATTACCCTGGGTGCAAACTTCCGTTTCTGAATTCATTTCATGCCAACATGAGCTGCTCAGTATGGCAGCCTGATTGATGGACAGGAAGTCTGTGTGGGAGTCGGCCTGGCTTGGACAATCCTGTGACAGGTTGCCCTCTAGCTCTGTAATTTTAGAAACAGCATAAATCCAGGAGCAAAGGTAGACAGATCATTCTCTTGAATAGTTCCTATCCTGGTGAGGAAGGTTTTCCTGAGGAATACCTTGTTTCTGTTCCATAACCAAATGCTTTAGAAAGAAATAGTTGGCTCTTGAAGCCAGACAGCTTGGGCTCAAATCCTAGCTATAGTTTTTATTAGTTGCATAGCTATGGGAAAGTACCTTACCCATCTCTGCCTCACTTTCCCAACTTGGAATGTCACTTGTGCTTGTCTCTTGAGTACAAATGGGACAGAAAATAAAGCAACACATACCTGGTGCACACTGAACACTGTGATCATTGTTCTTCATTAGGTTTCTGCAATTGACTTTGCAGCTGCATAGAAACCTGAAATTAATTTGAGTCTGTTCTCCAAGAGATAGTTATGTTTCAGCACAAGATTAACCATACATGTAATGTGTGTTTCACATAGTTGGAAGAAAAATATTGAATGTTTTTGAAGACTGATTTGAGGGAAAGATACATTTACAATGATTTGAAAATTTTACAGTATGCACATTTATCAAGCCATCACATGGGATTCTGTAATTACATTCTATGTATCACTGTGGGAGGGGAAAGACTAATGTAACTAGTTAGAGATAGATAAACTATCTCAGACTCTTAAATGACTTAGAAGTGTGATTCCTGACCCAGGGTCCTCCCACCAATCCACATGGCTTCCCTATGTATAGCAGTTTTGTTGAACCAGCCTTGGATGAAGAAGGATAATTAACTGTCTTCCTCCCCAGCATTGTACCTAGCTTCATCAGTCTTCCATATGGTGAGTCTAAGGACCTCAGAGCCCCAAGTGTGGAAGAGCTAAGTGTCAGAATGTTGTTCACACCCAAGAGCTTTGGTAATGTCCCTAAGGTACTTGCAGCCCTCTTCATTAGTGCTTGTGCAGAAGAGTAGGTGAAGTACTCAGAGGTCAAGGTGGAGCTTCTACTGATGGCAGGGGGAGAGAATACTGTGATTCCATAGTAGGACACAGTCTTTCCCAAAGAAGAAAGACGGAGAAATTGGTGAACAACAGATAACCTGTGTGTATGTAAGGAAAGCATAGACGTATGAGTGTCCAGTCATTTGCTTTATTTTTCTCAATTGAGAGTGACTTCGAGGAAGGTACATGATATTGGATAAATTATTTGTGTCTGTAAAACACACACACTGAATTCAAAGACTTCTCATTTTAAATTATGACTGTTACTTGAAAATCAGTGAATTTAAATGTTCTAATCTGTAGAGTAGAATTGGACTCACATCAAAGGACTCTTAGAGAATCATAATTTGGTGCATGGCAGAAGCTGAGTCCATCACCTATGCTCACTTTCAGAGTTTTAGTGTGATGTGCCGATGGGATAATGCAGTATTTCTAAGGTAGACTTGGGAACATGTCTCAAGCACGAAGCTTTATTAACCCATCTAATGTGCCTAGCTCCGGGGGACACACCTTCTAACTTTGTTCTGTGGTAGGAAACTATAGTGTGGAGAGTTCAGTATTTGATCCTACTAAATTCTGGATCCAGGACTGAAACCCCAGACCTCAGGTCTGCAGTCCATGTGTTCATTTCCTCCATCACCTTTCCTCTCTGGAGTTTGGGCAACTCTCCTGGGAACAGTGTGAGGATTAGGGAGCATGATACTGTGACACTGACACAGAGTTGATCACACAGCTCACATCCTACTAGAGCCTTTTCTGCTTCCATAGCAATGACATAAACCAAATGACCCAGGCCCAGTTTCCCCTGAGTGAACAGGCATTTGGGCTTTTGCACTTGGCTGCAGCTCCTAGGACCCACTGTTCAGAAAATTGTCCCAACCACCATCTAAAGGACAGACTTAGGAATATACTTTTGGACCTTTTTACAAACAAGTATTGTGTGTCATAGCTTGGTTGTAATGTTACTTTTGCACCTTGAGCCTTCAATCACTGTCACAAATAAAAGCACACATCATAATCAAAAGTAGAACTGATTTTTATTGTATTTTGCAAAACAAAACACAGAGTTTGGTTCTTCAGAACATGTGAAGTAGAGGCTTTTAAGGCATTATCTGCTCCAAGGGCATGAAGTGGGGGTGACTAGAAGCTGCAGTTTGTGTGCATTGGGGCTGTGATTCTCTGAGCTGTTGGGGAGAGATGGAAGATGAGATAGGAATGGAAGAGGATGGCTGAGCACTTCATGGGCAACTATTTGTTGTAGGGTGGAGTTGATCAGTTCCCTCCCTGTTTTGAAAACATTTGGATAGTAATGATACAAAATTCCACATATGTGATCTTGAGAGGTCAAAGCAGTAAGCACAAGCAGCTAGACCCTCAGAAGATATTGGGGGTAAAAGGATGAAGATAACATGACCCTCCTGTTTCATCATCCATTATGATCTTTGACCATCACAAGGCACAGCTCTTCTAAGCAGACTGAAGGTAACGAAGGCCAAGTAGAGGGCACTCTTCAAGAACAGGATGAGGTAGGCGTAGAATGCAGACGTGTTTGTAACTTGATGCTGCAGCATATCTAAGAAGAATCCTGCAGTTAGTTTCATCTGCCCTTTTGACAGAATAGCACAGATAGGTGACTTTTTTCTCGTGACCTACATTGAATGACATCTGAACACCTACCACTCTTACCAGAACTAGGAAGAAAAATCATCTTGGAAGTCAGATTAATAACAGCCCCTGATAAGTGCATTTGTAATCTTTCACTACTGAAAAGAGAAGTTGCACTTGGGGTAGATGGGTCCATTTAAAGGTTAAGTGGGAGATAAATTTAGAATTCTTCACTTCCAGTGTTTCTAAATGATAGCAAATAATATCCATCATGTACAAAGCAAATTATAAACAATATTCTGACATCTTTGCCCACGAAACATTCAATTTTTATAGTAAATAAATAGCTTTTGGTGGAGGAATTATTTTCATTTCCATTTGCAGAAGGCACAGAAAAATAGCTTGCCAAATATGTACTGAGTAAGCCACAGCCTAAGTCTTAATCCTTAGAAGTGACTTTTAAAAATTGTCACTTTCTGTTTACATTTCCAAGTATAATTATCATCTCAGACATTAAAATATAAGCACAAACACAAAACAACATCCAAAGCTTTGTAGACAGAGCCTGCTGTGCTGTGTCAGGAGGCACTGTCCATAGAAATCCAGTGGTAGCACAGCAGGGTGCATGGGAGATTGTAGAAGAGGGCAGGAAAGCCTGAAGGAACTCATCAGTCCAGATTTCCCAAATCTCTCAACTGTCTCTCTCAAGACTGTCATTAGCATAAAATGGGTAACTGGAACCAAAATATTTTGCAGTTTTATAAGAAATATGTGCTGTCATAAAAATTAAAACAATGATGGGAATTGGAAAACCACAGTAACCACTTTGTGAGTCAAGGCCATGATTTTTTTCTGTGTAAGAGATCTCAAGTAATAAAAATGTAATCTCTGCCCATGTTCACATTCATTGCTCATGTGGTACCTCAGATTCTGAGCTCATGGAATTGAGGATATGGAAGAACAGTCAGCGCTAGAACAAATATATGAGTCTCCTTTGGTGCGTATGTAGGGAGAAGGGACCAGAAACTAGTACTAAATAGAATAACTGCTTACTAAATATAATAACTATGTTGGGCATTTGATATCTAGGCACTCAATGCAATAACTGTGAATTTGGGGTAATTATTCTCCATTGTCAAGGAAGAAAAGTTTGCTTACAGAATGGAAGGCATTCATGCATATATGTGTACACTGATCATTAGAATGACTGGACCACTAGTCTGATATGGGGCAGTCTGAAGCTCATGCTCTTCCCAACTCATATGGCATTGCACTATAGGCAACGCTTTACACTGTGACTTAGAGGGAAATTACAAAACTGAGTAAGTGATCAATTGCCATTTGATGATCTGAGTTTGAAGCGCCCAGATCCGGATGTGTGACATGCCGCAGGAGTTAATATTAGGTCACTGACCACATCTGAAAAAATGGAGGAAACTGTCACAGTGTATGAGAGGAGTAAAAAGAGAAGTATACAAGATATACACACAGAATTCAGATCAAGGGCCTTTTGTCTAAAAGGGACTCTGTAGTTGCCAGGAAATGCGATTAGTACAAAACAAACAAACAAACAAAAAAAAAAACAACAAGAAAAACCTACTAAAAAGTTCCGTGGATCCTAATCAAAGTCTTACTTATGAAGACCAATTGTTGATATGACTAGGAAGTAATGGGTCAAATTACACTATCACCCACTCTATCCTGCAATTCTAGGCTTTTCTTTAAATTAGATAAATTCAAAGTTAAGATGATTGAGGTCATGTTCTCTATAAGATATAAAGTGAGCAGATGCTAAGACACCCTTTGTTCCTTCCAAGCAAGCTTCAAGATTAGTAGCATTATTAGCTAGAAGAAATGAGAACAAGTTCTAGTGAGTTACTGTGGCCATTATTTGGTGTGCTTGTGTGTGTGTGTGTGTGTGTGTGTGTGTGAGAGAGAGAGAGAGAGAGAGAGAGAGAGAGAGAGATCTCATCAAACAGAATTGATGATGAAAGCTCATGATTGTAGACTAATGATTGCTATACCAGGCAATGTATTAAATGATTCACATTCATTGTATTTAGTTCCACAGTAGGACTTAAATGAGTGACTCCATGTGTGAGAAAAGAATTAGGCTTAAAAGGTGTATTCAAAAATCTTACATGATTTTGTTAAGACAGGGTCATTATTTGGAAAATTAATCCATTGATAAAAGTGCTTGTCTTCAAAATTTAAGAATCTGCTTTGATTCTCATAACACATGCAAAAATGCTAGGTTTGGGTACATTCTGGAAATCACTGCCCTTTATAGGTAGGGAAAGCCTCCAAGGTTTTCCTCTAGACTTCACAAGAATGTGCATACACACACACATAAACTTGTACAATATGCTCTCTCTCTCTCACACACACACACACACACACACTTTTGGATTACAGCCATGCCATGTAACACTTACTTTGAACATCTTAATTCTTAATTATTCTTAGCAAATAACTATTTTTTTGTTTTACAATACAATGACTGAGAATTCCAGTGAAATTCATTCTATTAGTGGAAAGATCGCAGAAAAACCAACTATTTTGTGAATAAAGATTGAGATGGAAATAGTTTTTAGTGACATGGAGAGAATATTGATTTAAAATGCCATTCAGTCTCTTCTGCTATATTTAGCAATTATTTTTGTTTGTTTTTAATATTAATCCAAATATTTTCAGAAGATAAGGTGATAGAAGGAAAACAAACAGTTTCTCAAGAGGCAAAGGCAAATATAAATTAAAACTTACCATTTTCACATCTCATAACATTTTCTCTGGAGTTAATATCAATAGTTGTGAAAGCTGAAAGAAATTAAAGTACTAGTTAGTTATTGATGTTTATTATTTGAAAGTGTGTGTGTGTGTGTATGTGTGTGGGGGAGAATTAATACATATGAAGTGTTGATACAGAGACCTGAGAAGTTATATTTAAAAATATGAGGCTTGCAATTTCCAGAATAATTGATGTTACTATGAGATGCCATAGAAAACAGTTGTGATATGTTTTTGCACACAAAGATTTCAAAGTTTGTGATATCATTGCTTATTTTTTCTACACCTGTAATACTGTATTCCAGATTGCCTGATTTTCTTCTGAATCTAAATCTCCATGCACACAATTTGCCAAAAAGATGCACCAAAGATATGATCAATGGAAAAATGTCCAAACTGGCTGATTTTCAGACTTGTGCAAATAGGCTGATAAGTCGTGTCACACACAATGAATGTATCTAACATTAAAGTCAACAACAGAATCATGCATGGGGTAGTCTGACATGGACCAATTTCTATCTAAGAAGAGGAAAGCAGTCACAGCTTTGTAAGTCACTCATTTCCCTAAATCCCCCACTTGTATGCTTGGTTACTGGTGAGGAGATGCTTGTGGACATGTGCATTTGTGTTAATAAGAGCTGCTGTCTGTTCTGTGATTGCTGCTATACCAGGGGATGACTAAATGCATCCTAAACATCATAATGCTTAATTCTCCTGTAACACTAAAGTGAGTTGAAGTCTAGATATCCTAATTAAAAATTAAAAAATAAATTTCAACGAGCTTATATAACTCATAACTGTGAATGAGATGGTCAATATTTAATGAATGGTATGGATTTAATACAAAGGATATGTGGGAAATAAATTGTAAATATCATCAAACTTGTGGAACATTTGTATTTTTCAATCAAAATAAAAAACATCTAGAATAGAATACTTGTTTGAGAAAATATTACATTTATATATCAATAAAGAAAAATAAGTATGACCATAAATTCATGAATTCTGGTAAATGATCAAGAGATTAAACCGAGAAACCATGGAGTAGGAGAAACAGCTAAGTTAAAATGGGAAAAATGAACTATTCACTCCATATGTCTAAAAAATGTTCTCATTGAAATTATAGAACATCGCCAAACCAGTGAAAGATATAGACTTCCAAACACAAGAGGTACTTAGAATCCCAAATATGTAAGATCAGAGAAGACCTCCACATGGCACATTAAACCCAAGATACAAAAATTACAATAGAAGGAATCCATGAAAGGCTACAGAAATAAAATACCAAGTCACAGGGTTTCAGAGGTTTGCAAAAGGAACCCTCAAAGCAAGGAACTAGCCCAGAGATGAATTTTAGAGCTTAAAAAACGGCTGATGTTGTGTGCAGTTGTACCAAGGAAATAGCATCTGATAAATTAATGGAGAAGCAAAGATCTTTTAAGCAGTGCACAAAATGAAACACTTTGTGACCACCAAAGCCATCATTGTAAAAGGAATTTGGAATTACATACACCAACACCAAAGAGGGAAGAAAGACAGTATCAACCAGAGCACAGTAAACAAGGAATATCATGAGGGAAATATATGAACAAAGGAGAACTAGATACTGACAGCTCAGTCACACAAAAGTTCCTGATAGAAATAGAAGAGAAGGAAAAAGATCAATTACTTCAAGCAGAAAAGCAACAAGCACAAATGAAAGGACTCAGCAAAGCTCCTTCAGTAATAATCTGAAACACAAATGGTTTTAGTCTCCGATGAAAATATGTCAAGCAACTGGTTGAATTAAACAAAACAAAAACCAGGATCAAAATGTTGTTGTTTTCAAGACCCCTATATCTGGTGAAGATATGCACAGATTGGCACAGAAAGGATGCAAATCATTTGACAGGCAAATAGGAGCCCCAAACAAGTAGATGTAGCTATAGTTGCACTTGGTAAGTAGACTTCAATACAAAATTGATGGGGAGAGATTAAGAGGATCACAATATCAAGATGCTATAATAACTATGCATATATTTTCATCGACTGTTGAGTGAAACAGACATTAATGGACATGAAGACTAGATAAGACCAAGTAAATAAATAGTGAGTTACTTACAATAGACAGATCACCTAGACATTGCAAAATCAACAAATTTCAAATTTTAACTCTACTTCCAAAGGATTTAATAGACATCTAAAGAATATTATATTTAACTCATTGAGAATACACATTTATTCTTAAAAGCTTATGAAACTTTATTTCAGATAACATTTTAGGCAATAAAGCTAGTGTTAACAAATAATAAAATAAATAATACCTTTTATATTATCAAAACACAGTGGAACAAAACTAGATAAAAGTACCAGGAGAAACTATAAAAAGTGTGCAATGTATGAAGATTCAGCAGAATGACCTTGAATGATTAGTGGGTCCTCAAAGAAATCAGGAAAAAATATAAAATCGTTTATATTTAAGTGAAAATTAAAGAAAATTTTATTAGAAACTATGGGATACTGTGACTTTATTATATCCTGGGGAAAGACAAGAGAAACCTATGTAGTTTTCTTTTTAAGTGTCTGGTTATCTGAATCAAACTTGGGATGTGTTTTATTTGTCAGTGTTTATAAGCAATACTAGAATAACTTGATATCACACTTTTCTCAGTCATTAAATGTTGGGTGAATAGTTGGGTGGATGGATGGGTGGTGAGATAGTTGGATGGTTGGATGGATGGGTGAATGGATGGATGGATGTGGTGATGGGGTTCTTCTTTGCAGTCATTCAGAGCTACTCACTGAACTCTCATTTGTTAATTTGCTGTGTTAATATGATGCCGAGGAAATGACCGATTGCTTTAAATGTCATTCAGTCTGGCAAAATTCAGTCATTCTAGGTTTTTGTCTACCTAAAGCAAGGTGGATTCCAATGTTAAGATGATTAGGAGGAGGAAAATAAATCTAAAACTTACCATTTTCAGTTGTCAAATAAGCTTCTGTAGGAGTAACGGTGTTGACAACTAAAGGTAAGGAAAGCAAACATCGGTCAGGTATACATGTATTTGTGAAAGTATACATAGACCTATTTGTACACATTTGCATATAACTATAATGTCAACAGAAAGACAGCCATTAAAATATGACCCTTGCAATCCTAGAAGCATTAGTTGCACTGTATGTAATTTGGTGGGTGACACTCATATGATGTTTCTACATGTGACCATGTTGAAGTTCACAAGGATTGCGCCATTATCATAATCTCAATGTAATGCCCAAAACTTCCCTGCCAGACCCACTTTTCCTAGAAAAACTTTTGCCTCAAAAAAGACAATGTACAAATGAAAACTCAATGGAAAAATAGAGAGACTATTGGTTGACATATGGGCATTCATATCCTTGACTTGACGTGTCACGCTGTGTAGTTATTTCTGAGGATAGACAGATAGCCCAAATTATATTTCCAGTTTTCTGTGTGAAGCTTGAGGTAAGAGAAACCCCTATGAGTGTTTTAAAAGCAAAAATAATGTGCTTAATTATTATAGTGTTGGAGAAGCATACACCTGTTCTTTGAGGTTATTATTCTGCTAAATGTGTTCTTGTAAGTATGTATTTCCTTTCACTACACAATGTTATTGAAGGACATGTTCTGTGTGCATTAAAATGGATTTGAGTGTGTATTTGGTGAAAATATACATACAGTCATTTGGTTTCTGTTTCAAGATCTGCCTTAATAGCTCTAAAGTCTATTTTTAATCATTTAGGGGACTTTATTATCTAAAAGATAAATGAAAAGCATCATCACCATGAATTGATTGAAGTACAAAAGAATAGGCTTACTAATAATACAATCTATGTGTTTCTAAACTCCCTCAGACAAAGGTAATTGCAGTCTTAGCATTCAGCTTCATGTCCTTTCATAATCATGGCATTAAGTTATTTTATCAAGACAAACCATATGAAATGAAACATCTTCCCAGAGGCAGCATTAGAAATTCTTTGGTGAATGCTGTTACAAGAAATGCCTTGATTGCTTTCCTGCCATGAGACACGATTTTTAACTTTGTGTATTTGTCTTGCCTCTGTAAGCTGGAAATTGAATATTGGGTCTCTCTTATAATGATTTGCTATGCTGTTGCAAACAGCAACTTCCTTCATTGCTGTTACTTCATTTTCTCTTCATGAAAACTCTAGGTAAAGGTAGGAAACTTTACAGACATCACTGGCCACTACTGAAACAACGTATTCCAGAGGAGCAAGACTTACTGAGGACATACCAAAGATGTCCCCATGTTTTGGCATTTGTATATTTTTCCACAGATCAAAAGTGTTTGTCAACCACATGGGAGAAAATAAAAGGATTCTCTTTCTCTGTCATTCTGGGTCCTTAGGAAAGTTTTCAAGACTAAGAATGAGAACACACCCACATGGAGAGTTACCTACTGGTCCAGTTACAACCTGTCTTTTCCCACTCAGTCTTCTGCTGGCTGGAAGTATCTAGGTCATGGCTCCTGAATAATACATGATTCTAAATGATGAGGAACAGAATAAAAGCTATTCATTGCAGCCATTGGGTCACTAGCTCATCGAAACTATTCGTCCACATCTCACTTGTATCTGGCATACAGGTGACATAGAAAATGTCTACCCAAGTGACTGCATTTACAGAAACAAGAAATGAACTCACCATGGAAAACAGAAATGTATGTGTTAGCCTCATCCACACTTAAATTGTGAATGCTGTGTAACAGTGACATGTAAAACAAAAATCAGAAAACCTCAAGGTTGCCATAAATCTTCAGTGGCTGAATAGTTCTAATTTTTTGGTTGTTGTTGAATATAAATTTTCATAGGAGCACTAGCTTGTCAGTTAAAAACTTACTGTAGACAAAATTTAGTGCATTGAAATTGAATTAGGCAATTTTGCTTATTTTACATGGTTGAACATTTCTGAAAGGTGTCTATTGTTCTTGTGTCTGAATCAAGCACAGTCAGCAAAAGTGGAAATGGTAACTTCAACATCTAGCACTGAATGGCTAGATGCCTTTCAGGGATGTTGTTTCACTTAATGCGTGAAGCAATCCTAGAAAATAAGACATGATCTTCATATTTTATATAGTATAACTGAATCCAAGTAAATTAAAAGCAAATATTTTGCTATTTTCCCTATAATATTCTCTGAGACAGAACAGCATGGTTCTGTGTTTACAATATATATATATATATATACATATATATATAGTAAGATTTTAAAAAGATTCATTTTATCAATATACATTATAACAATGGGATCATTCCCTTTTACATATGTTTTCTTGAAACACACTTACATTACCATATGTATACCTTTATCAATAGGAGGAAACAGAATTTCTTTGTCAACTCCTCTCTGATTGTTTTCATGTTTGACAATACACCTGTACTGTTTATCCATTGAATCTTCAGTCACAGTCAGCCAACTTAACTTCATGTATGTATCATCGGTCTTCATGGTATTTCCTTCTTTAGATTCCAGAATCTTATCACCATCCTTTTCTTTCCAATATACATGTATAACATCAGGGAAGAATTTCTCAAGGAGACAAAGATATGTCCCAGCCTTATGGAGATTTGTTTCAGCAACAGAAGGGAGAAAGATGGTGGGCTTGGGAGAAATGTCTGAATCAAAGTGCTTGTCTGTCAGGAAATATAAAACATAAGAAGAGAATTATTAGGGAGACTCAATTATTAAATGGATTTGACACAATCTGGTGCAGTGTGCTGGGAAGACAAGTTGAGACTAAGTTAGTGCCCACTGTAGATTTGTGTCCACTTAGGTTGTAGAGATATACTATTGTCCCCACTTTAGAGTTGCACAATTAATAAAGGGTTTTGCATGACTTTCAGAAGTCAGCTGTTTACTTGAGGGGCCTAATTAAATCTGTCTTTTGTTGCTCCACAGGTCAGCATGGATTCTTTGTTATATCTCCTGTGTTTTCTCAGATTAGATCACACTTTTAGGATGGATGAAAGAGTCCTGGGAATGACTATATGATGTCTCTGAGAACTGGGATCTACACTTCACTAATGGCTAGTGCTCTCTCCCTTTGTCTCTTAGATTGTCTAACTAAGTCTCTCCCCCATGCATTTGCAATTCAGTTACCCCACTCTCTATTTAGCTGATTCTCAAATGTACTCCTTTTATATCATATCACATACGAGATGTCACAAGTTGAGTTGCCTGTTTTAATGGCCAATTCCTCCAAAGTACAATAGCACACATTAAATATGTCTGTGGGTCTCTGCCCAATTCTGTAGATACTACTGTTTCTCTGTCATGCCACAGCATCTTATTTCCACATCTAAACCATTCTACGCTTGTGAACTGGACCGCTTTAAAAGTTTTCCTTTCAAATGATTTACAGTGTCTATAATTTGGGGGCTATAAAACAACTTCTTTTAACAATATTTAATGTTTTTATGTTAATCTTACAGAGTTATACACTTACACATTTTGTTTAGCTTTAGAAAAAACTTTAATTTTTGTTTCATTTAAAGTTGAAGCATTACTAAGATAAAATAGAAGTGTGTTTCTCCAACTTATTTTAATATAAATTTATCTTATTTAAGAGACGCTTGATCCATCTTTGACATCCAAGGTTAGAGGCTTCAGCTCTTTATCCTATTATTAGTGTGAATTGGTTTAACTTCACTACCAGGAAGATAAACCAAAGTAAAACAAACAAACAAAAAAAAACAAAGTATTTGGAGAAGCAACTTGATGGCAATCCTACAGAAACATAAAAGGTCACTGTTATTATCATCGTAACTACTAGAGGATTTTTTTTGTACTTGCTCATGGAAATCTAGAAGAATCGTTCCACTCCAAGTCAGCAGCATGGCACATGGAAGTCATCTCTTTTCCCATAAAGAACAGCTGAAAACAGATTCTAGCCAGCTTGTTCCAAAAAGGAGCTTGAAACTGCTGGCTTAGTCTCAATGCAGGCTGACTATAAGAATAGCAGATGGCCAGACTGCACAGCCATCATAGGTCCCTAAGTGCCAACTACCATACCATATCCTATCTTCTGAGGGTTCCCAGTTTGCATGGCTCTAACTGTCAAAGGTTCACAGCACTGACACATTGACAGTGTCATCGGTTCATGTACAAGTCTCTCAGTGGATGGAGGACAGTGCCTGCTCTGCTTTGCTTTCCTTCTGAAGGTCTCATGCACTGAAATCCTTACGTAAATTTATTTTGGATTTTAAAATATAATTTGCTTCTTTTTATCAACTAATTAAAGGTATGTGTTTCACTATATTTTCTGTTATTTTTTATCATAAAATTTTAGGTAGCCACAACAACTTTTCCTTTTCGTTCTTCTGTTGTTTCTTAGCTGGATGTCTCCTTATGGATATTGTCTCAGTTCTTAAAAGGATTTTAGAAACAGGCATTGAAAACAATCAATCCACAGTTCCTATGGTATAGCTGTTTCTCTTTCTACCTTATGGTGTGATTGTTGGAGGATGTGGTAGATATGTTTGGCAGTCCTGGCTTTATGACTAGATGCTACTGGCTGCATTTAAGCAGATCTAAAATGAGAGAACATAGACTGAGGCTTTCTTTACTAAATCGTTTCTTGTGATATAGGGGTAACTGTGCATGTACACTTTGTGCATCCAACGTGTGAAAAGATTCTCTTCTGTCTTTCTGAACCAAAGCACAATTTAGAGAATATATCAGATTTATATGGACTCAGTTAATGCTAACTTTGGAGTGGAATTCATAACAGGAACTCATAAAACTAGAAAGCTTCTGTACAGAAGAGGAAATAATCAATTAAGAGATGAAGAAACCCGCCGGGAGGTGGTGGCACACACCTTTAATCCCAGCACTCGGGAGGCAGAGGCAGGCGGATCTCTGTGAGTTCGAGGCCAGGCTGGACCGACAGCCTCCAAAACAATACAGAGAAACCCTGTCTCATAAAACCAAAGAGAGAGAGAGAGAGAGAGAGAGAGAGAGAGAGAGAGAGAGAGAGAGAGAGAGAGAGAGAGAGAGAAAGAGAAAGAGAGATGAAGAAACCCACAAAGTGGAAGAGAATCTTTGCCAGCTATACATCTTACAGAGAGTTAATATACAGAATATATAAAGAAACCCCTCTAAAAACAGTCAGGGACTGCAGAGATCACTCAGCAACTCAGAGCACTTGATGTTTGAGGGAGCATTTTAAGTGGGGAAGGAGAAGGGAAAGCAAACTGTAGGAGGAAGGGAGGATATATAACACTAAAGAGGTTTGAAAAGCCATAGGGAATCATATTTACTTAAGATTGAGAGAGAGACAAAGACAGAGAGAGAGAGAGAGAGAGAGAGAGAGAGAGAGAGAGAGAGAGAGAGAGAGAGAGAGAGAGAGAGAGAGAGAGAGAGAGAGAGAGAGAGAGAGAGAGAGAGAGAGAGAGAGAGAGAGAGAGAGAGAGAGACTGACTTAGGGTACTTAGGCTTCTCCTCATCTATAGGCTATTTCACAAAACCCCCAGAGCCAACCGCAGGAAAATTCATTTTGGTTTTTGATTAGAGTCCAAGAGACCCTCAAAACAATATAGGTTATTTACATTGCCTTTGGTTTCCTCTAAGAATTTGCAAATAAGACCCTATTGCTAAATAGACCATACTTTAAATATAGGACATGGAGGAATTGAAGTGGATTTGACCTGGAAGCCTCCTTCCTGAGGATTATCTCTCATAGTACCAGAAGGAGGTATGCAAGCTGCCAAGGCAGAAAAGTAATTGATGACCTATGAACTACAATGACCAGATGGCAAGATATCCTTAAAGGGGCAGTAATTGCAAGCATATATTAGGGGAAACCAACAACCATCTAATTGGATTTAAAGGTTTCTCAAATGGAAAGAATGTGTGCCTAATACTGTAAAACAGCTTGGCTGGTAAGGTTGTCAACCCTGGGAGAGTCTACTACTGCCACTTCCCTAAACCAGTATAATCTCTAACTGCATTCCAAATGCCTATCCTTAATGCACACAGCTTGATGTGGTAAAGAATTTTCCCTTTTCAGCAGATGTAAAACCATTACAGAAAGCCACAACTGGTCAAAATGCAGAGAACAATTGACTGTTAAGTGCATTGTTGCATTTCATATATGTGAGACTCAGGGCATATCATGGAAGAAAGAGTAGAAGATTGTAAAAGTCAGAGGACCAGGATATCTGCTGGGAGTGTCTTCCCTATGTGAAAGGGAAGCTTCACCTAGGAAGCCTCAAGAATATAGTTACCTGAACAAAAACTGGAAAAAAATACCATCAAATGACATGCTGGAAGAAATCTTACAATGTCGCTCTTCCTGGATGAAAGACTACATGCAATTAATGGCTGCCGAGAGGGAGAATTAGGGTCTCTGATAGGTTATCTAATCTCAAGTAGTCGGCTCTAATCATATACACACAAGCAACAAAAAGGAATTCAGCATGTTGTAGTTACAAATTCATTGTGTGTGTGTGTGTGTGTGAGAGAGAGAGTGTGTGTGTGTGCGTGTGTGTGTAAGAATACTAATAGGAGGCCATAAACTTGAGAGAGTTGGAAGAAGACGTTAGTGGTGTTAGTGGGAGGAAAGGAAGGAATGATGTAAATATAGTGCTCATGATACAACCAAAAATTAAGATTATAAAAGGGAAAAATGAAAACACAGTTAACATGTATTTAGTAATTATCACATGAGACAGTAACTTCTACAGTTAATGCTTGTTTCACACATATATTGACAAAAATATTAAATGCAGAGATGCTTTTCTTTTGTTGTGCGATTAGATAATTGCCTTGGCACATAAAATCATCATGATACCACAAAATGGACACTCAGGAAGAAGATGGTTGCTGTGTGTAGATGTGTAAGTCGGGTGAAGTCTGGAATCACTCTGATGAGATGTAAGGGCTCAGAAGCATTCTTTAACTGATGCTGGTATCGATAGACATTTTAACTTTGTTTAAATTTAAGTTAAGAAATATGATTTCTATGTGCTAGTTTGACTGAAGTATCTGTTATCTCTTTAAGTTTATTCAAATTAGAGTGGAAAACTTTTTTTCTATATTTAGCTACTGGGAAATAAAGGTCACCTCAGCTTCACCATCTACAAGACGCATGTTAAATTGAAATGACTTTTGGAATCATGGAGTATTTGTTTTAGAAGGAAAAAGCATGATGCAAACCCTAACAGTTCTAGTGTGAGATTTGTGTTTGGTGTGACCCAAACATATGCATTACTGAGATCATATACGGAAGTTAATATTTAATTATCTACCAGTCTCAGGGAAGGAGTTAAATAATTTCTTTTTTAGTTTCAAATAATTCTTAAAATACCCACTAAGAGGGATGCCATTATCCTCATGGTACACGCAAACTATGGGATGCCTTGCTCAGCCTTAAGGCATGGGAGAGGAGCCTGTCCCTGTTCCCAGCCTATAGTGCCAGAATATGTTGACTCCTCATGGGAGCCCTTACCCGTGAGAAGATGAGGACTGGGGGTGGGCTGATAGGGGTGCCATGAAGGGTGGGAGGTGGTGAGGAGAGGGGTGAGAAGGGGGTGTGGGAGGGAGAACTGTGGTTTGAATATAAAATGAAATAAAAAATAAAAATGGCAAAAAGAAAATATGAATAATTTTAAGAACAGTTGGGTAGACTCTTCATGACACAGTACCAAGCAAAACCAGTCAAATCCAGTATCATGAATCTATTCTACCCTGATTTTGCTAATATAATTAAAGTATACCAGATAAATGATCTAATGGAAATTTTACAGAATAACGACCATGAATGACAGTAGCATTATTTTTGCTTATTTATGTATCTTAGCAATTCTGCTATGATCAATAGGAACCTTAAAAACTATAAGAAGAAATCTGTTCCCTTAAACAGTTTTCATGTATTAATCAGCTCTTAGCCTAGAATGTAATTAGACTTTTAAAATATTTCTTAACTTTTGATGTACCAGTAATAGTATTCATGAATTTGAACATTTAGCAAATAGATATTAAATAATATTTTAGGCATTTGGTGATTCAGATGAATTAAATGATTGGCTTCTAGATGGATTATAACAGGATTTCTTACTAAGATCCAATTCCAACTGAGAAAAGACTTGCGCTATCTCACAGAGTATATTCATACTTTTCTCTGGGACCAAGCCTCTGGCATGCTAGGCAATAATTCTACCACCAGCTGCTATTTCCAGCCCCAAGGTGTGAATTATTAATGATGACCTCACAAGCTAGTCTTTGATTGGAAAATATCCTTTCGACTTAAAGATTCCTTGACAGTTTCTAGGACACTGAATTTGAATTCTGCACTGTACATTAGAACACGCTAACTTGTGTTTATGTCTATAGTTGTCTCATCCTGAGAGTCCAGGCAGCTGTGAGTTATGCAACCAAGGAGTGCATTTAATACAACTTACCTCTTTCCTTTTCAATATTTCCAGAAATTTGATGCCAAAACAGAAATAAAAGTAAGTCTTGTCATACTGTCAGGTCACATTATATAAATAACCCAAGAACCATACCATAATCATTTAATAAACACATATTCAGAATTATCTCCTTCATTTTTTGTGGAGAGAAGAAAGTTTGGCTCCACAACAGAAGCGTTTCATTCTTGTGATGCTTCATACAAATTATGAATGTTTAAAATCAAGTGGCAATGAAAGTGTCCATGTAAAAGGTCAAGCCACAGAGCAGGAAATATTCTGAACTTAAAACCTGACAATGCTTGTGATGTTGCAGTACATGGTTATTTGCCGCCATTGTGTGTTCTGTAATGGAAAATCAAGTACCTCAGCCCCGGTGTTTCCCCTGTGAAAGGAGATAAAGGTCTGTGTAAAGATGTGGAGTAATGACCGAAGGCACACACGCTCCTTAACATAATGTCTAGTTTTCAATTCTTTTCTCATGCTATTTTTCTCTTTAATGCGATGATTTGTAGCCACACCCTCTCATTTTTCTTGGTCCACATTTCAAGTATCGTTCACAACATTCTTAGACTCACAAGTGTTTCAGATCTTATATGGTTTTGTATTTAAAAGGCTCATCCTAAATTTGGATTTTAAAAGCAATAGCTATTACACAAATTAATAGTGGAAAGGATTCCAGGAACCTAGGCCCTCCTGACTTTCTGGAAGCCATAGTCCAAGGTATAATGAGGCCTATCACAGTATCTAACCTTGAGGAGGGGAGCTCTTTCATGCAGAGTTTATGTCATGGCTACTCTTTTTATCTCTAACATTCTGAGCAACCTGTTTAGCAGCTGAGAGAATACATGGTCCAATGCAGATGCAGAGCCATGGAGAGTCTTTGCATGGACCCAGGAATCAAAGGCCCCATGGAACATATATATTTCATTAAATTGGGCAGTCTTTAAGCAGCCTCCATATGTCTTACTGCCGTAGATTCTGTCTGTCCTCACATTACCCTAAGGTTTCAGGCAAATGAGAGGGCTGTATTGACATCTTTAGAATTTTCTGTGAGAATTAATGTTTTCAGGGTACTTAGGTATATAATCATAAGCAGGAATAAAGATCTTTCAATTTTCTGAAGAAAGGAATATATTGTAATCCCCCAAATATGTAGAAAAGAAACTAATACAATTACACTTTGAGGAGACCCTCTTTAAAAGACCTTCTACAGAAAAGGAACTTGGTGTAGTATTGGTAATATTAGTAATATTGGTGAATAGCATAAGCACAGTCCTCACAGAATTCTAACTTCTACCCCCTGTGTATGCATTTTAAATGCAGGATTTCAGTTTGCTTACTGACAAGAAAGGAAGAAATTGCTTACAAAGTAGCTTCATTTCTCTTCATTTCTATGTCCAGTAACTCATAACTGAAGTTAATCACAATTGTTTTTTCTAAAAATAAGAAAAAAATTTCACTGGTTATTCACTACTAAGATAACAATGCAACAACTTCCTTACCTGAGGGAATTACTATGAGCTTTGTCCCTTTTGAAAATATCTTGGTCCATGAACCTGTCAGTCACATTGCTCAGACCTTCTACAAAAATGTGAAGCCTCTCTTGGCCTTCAGTACGATGAGCCATTTAGGAACTCTTAGAAAGTTGACCTGGATTCCCCCGGAAAGTTTTGTATCATCCAATAATTTGTAAGTTTCCTCGCAAACTGATTTGACAAACTGTTCTCTTGTCTGAGGCAGCAGTTACTGTAAAATATCAACAGACAATGGGAAGGTTAAAAACAGAAGGAGGGCCGGGCCAGGCCACAAACCAAGAGCTTTCCTAAGTTACAGGAAACATATTCTGAGAATTAAGTCTCTTTTTTTAATTCCGAGATGTTTAGTCTTGCTGAAACTGCTAAGATAATTTATTAAATGTGTCTCTACTCACAGAAATACCAAGGCCACACCTTCAGTAATTTGGGAGTTTCTTAGGGGAGAAAGCTCTCTAGCAATGGCAAGGGAAATGGAGCAACCAAGGAAAGTTTAAGGATGGTGAGCCAAGCCCTCCATGTTCTAAGAAGCCACATGACCTCTTGCCTGATGATTTATTATCAGGGTGGTGGCAACTAGGAAATGGCTTTTTCTGACGACTTCCTATTCCCTTTCAAAGAATAAAATAAAATTATACAAATCTGTCTCTCATGGAATTATAAATCCCTTGTTTATTCTAGAAAGTGGAAACTAAATCCAGTGCTCTGAAATTCTGAAAATAAATTTGAAGGCATTTCTGTGCTCTCCCAAAACTCACCTCAGAAGGAGAGGAATAGCCAGAAATGCCCTGAAGTACAGGTGAAGCCAGGCCTTGACTGGCCACCATGTCCTTCCTAGACCCAACAGTCCAGGCCTAAGTTACATGAGCAGACATAAACTCTGTCCCTAAAGACTGTAGGTGATCGGAATGTCCATCAATAGCCCTCTCTCAGCCACCAACCCAGACGAGAGGACAAGATTATAGAAAAAAAATTAAGTTCCGAATATAGTTTTAAATGTAAATGCTTAAAAATTTAGTTTTACATATGTATTTTGCCTGAATATATGTTTGTATATCACACGCATGCTTAGTGCCAGCAGAAGCCAGAAGAGGAGCTGGATCCCATGGACCTGGAGTTACAGGCAGTTGTGAGCCTTTGTGTGGGTGCTGGGAGCTAAACCGAGACCCTGCTAGAACAGAAAGCACTCTTGCTGCTAAGCCACCTGTCCAGCCCCCAACTGGCATTTGAGACAAATAATAGATTTGCATTGAGTTCACATCAGTTCATCTTCTAGAAATGTTGATGACTTTTAATGACTTCTAGTCCCTAACTAATTGGAGTCTTCTATGAGAAAAACAAGTGTATGCATGCACACACACACACACACACACACACACACACACACACACACACACACTGACATGTGCAAGACAGAGAAAATGCATATGCTTTCACAGACTGGCTTCATTTAGGTGCCATCACAAACCAACAAAAATTTTTCATTCAGACTCTCCAAGGGATTCTGACTTGCGCCAAGTTGAGAATTAAAGCTAATCAAAATAGTTTCAAAAAGAAACTTGGCTCAGCACTGATCATAAGAGAGGTAAGAAGAGGCAAGAGGCACTGAGAATTAAATACTAGTGCAGCCACCTTTGTAGGTCACTAGTTCCAGACCCTCTTTGGCTGCAGTTTCCTCATTTGCAGTGACAGCTTTGAGCTAAATGAGTCCCAAGGACCTACCCAGACCCAACACCTGTGAACCTATTACTGCAAGCACTGAGGATCCTCAGTGGTCAAGGGACTGTGAGTGTAGCTGAGGAGCAGGGATAGGAAGGTTTTCTTACAGGTTCCTTCAGATAATGAGACACCGTGAGATCCCAGCAGGTACAATAGTATGTGGCTTCATCTGCTGTGATAGCAATGTTGATTATCAGGTTGAAGGTGCCATCATTCTTTTCAGCTGTTTCCAAGGAGGAGTTGGGTTTGTCTGACTTATAAGTCCTGTCTGAGCCATAGAAGATTCGTTTCAGGCCTCCCCTTCTTTCAGTTGGTACCAGAGCACAATGGTGTTCTGGATGGAGGACCCAGATAGCTTGTAACTTATGTACACCATCTTGTTTGGCCTTTAGGCAAAGGACAGCTGATCCTCAGATACTGTAAGTTTGAAATCTCTAGCTGAAAAGTGAGAAGGAGAAATTAGAGATGTTTAAATAATGTTTATTCCCAAATACAAAAATAATGAAAGGGAAGAAGGAAACAAAATCAACTTACAAACCCAAGGCAAAGTCAGAAGGAAAAACTCAAGGGGTTGGCATTTCCAATGATAGTTGCAATTGACAGCAGAGACAGTGAATAGGGCCACAACTATGGTGGATTAAGGTGGAGCCCTAGCACTAGAGGAATGGACCAGGTCATTTTATCATGTTCCTATTGCAAAGGAACTATTAAATACCAGAAGACCTCATTGTTATGCACATGTTTCAGTAACAGAGCTACTTTTCCCTTGGTAGTGGCAGTTGCCCCTCACCTTTTATCCATTGCATGCTTCAAAGACAACTCTCTTTGACATCATTTTAAGAAACTGATGTTTGTATTTTTCCATATTATTTTAAGAGATTTGTAACAGTGTATGATTATAATAATCGCATGGGAAAATTTGTCTTATTATACACAGTACAGAATAAGATGAGAATTTCACAACCATAAAGAATTTCAGAGCCTTGTGAATATTAAACACTCCTCGTAGATACAACATTTTACAGAGTCTTAAGCTTGATTATAGTTATTTTAGTGATCATATTGCTGTAGATTACACACACTGCTGTGAATGAACACCTTCTACTTTTACCCTATTCATAGTTATTCATTTTTTAGCTAAAACATACAGAGTAGCGAAAGGGAAATTTTGTATTCATCAAGATGTGCTACAGAAGATAGAAGAGAGGTATGGATGGCGAGAGAGGTAAAAGAGAGATGCTGGAGGCAATTGAGATAACACCGAAATAAGATGTTAAGTAATGGATACATATAGGCAAATGTTAGATGATAGATAGACAGACGGAAAGTAGACAGATTATAGATAGTAGATATATAGATTATGCATAGTAGATAGATGATTGACAGATGAAAGATTGATGATAGGTAGGTGGTAGATAATAGATGACATAGATAAATATATAAATGATAGGTACTGAGTGGATATCTAAATGGTAGTTAAGAGATAGATAGAAATTAGATAGTCCCTGAGGTCTACATTTGAAATTTCTCTTGGGCAACACTTTTCTACTAACACTGATGCTCTGGTGAGTACACTTCACCTGGAATATTTGGTAATAGGCTGCAGGGAGAATTTGCGTCCATCCTAACTTTAGACTTCTGACCACCCAGCCAAAGAAACTTGCTTCAGGCTTTGTTTTGCTGTTAAGTGTTGCCATTAAATGGCCAAGTTAAAGATGACATAATATGGCTGGGCAGTGGTGGCACACGCCTTTAATCCCAGCACTCGGGAGGCAGAGGCAGGCGGATCTCTGTGAGTTTGAGGCCAGGCTGGACCGACAGCCTCCAAAACAATACAGAGAAACCCTGTCTCGAAAAACCAAAAAAAAAGACATAATATGTCCCTGTACTGTTTTAATATGCATTAAAAACAAACCTGTATATTTTAGCTAGAGCCATATAAATTAGTTTTCTAAATACTTACATGCACTAATATGTGCTAATAATCCAGAACATCAGTCTAAAGCTTCAATTATTGAATAATGTATTAGTACAGGCGTTACAAAAACTTTATGTGTATTATTTGAAGAGACTTTTCAATAGTTTATTAAGGTTAATATTGTGTTCCCCATTGCAAATTAGGGAAATTAATCAAAGATATGTAATTTAACCAAAGCCATACAGACAACATCAGGGAATGTGTATGTAACACATATTGATTTAGTAGGCATTGGGAAATAGGAAAAGATAAAAATAAATTGAGCATACCTTAGCCAACTCTTGCCATCCCAACACCATCAAGATGTACAGAACCCTCCAGAATACCTGCCCATTTTTCAGGTAAAAGATCACACCACCCACCTCTGGTACCCCAAACCCTCCCACCATAGGACACTGCTTGCTCTCCAAGTCCTAAAGACAACACCCCTGACAACCATGGCACTCCATTATTTCCCTGACAACTCAAGGAGAACCCAGCCTCCAAAATAATCAAACATGAAAAGCAAGGCTATATCTCCTCCAGTTACCAAACAAGCAGTCCCTAGCAAGAGCAATTTAGACAAAACTCCAGGAAAATGGTTTTAAAATTATGTTCTGAGAATTCAAAGAGAACATGAATTAACTCTCAAATAGATTCAAAGAGGATAAGAGTAAACTCCTGAACTGGTCACAATGGTGCATGCTTTTGATCCAAGTAATTGGGAGGCAGAAGAAGGTGCATTTTTGTGAGTTCAAGGCCAGATTGGTCTACAAAGCAAGTTCCAGGACAGTTAGGGCTACATAGAAATTTTTTAAAAAAAGAATAAACTCCTGGATGAATTCTAAGAGAATACAAACAAACAACTGAATGAAATAATGAAGACAATTCTTAATCTGAAAATAAAATTGAACAAAGTGAGAGAGACAGGGAAGAAAAACTAATGCTTGAACTGGAAAATTCGGTAAGTCAAATAAAAAGATAAATGGAAAGTCTCATCAATAGCATAATCTTGTGGAGAACAGAATATCAGGGCTTGAAGTCAAGGTAGAAAAATTGAATCATTAAGTTAAAGAAAATAATAAATATTAACCTTATGAATGCAACATGTGAGGCCTTGGGACTTGAAGAAAAGAACGAGTCTACAAATAATATGTATAGAAAATGGAGGAGAATTACAGGTTATCAATGCAGAAATGTCTTCAATAAAATCATAGAAGAAAATTTACAAAAATTATGGAAAGGCACACATTATAAGTATATCTACTATTAACACTAATTACATGAGGAACATCAAAAACACTTTCTTCTACTTTGCTTTCCCCTGCCCTTCCCATCCTGTTCTGGACTAGTGCCTCACACTGTTACTGTCCTCGGTGCCTTGCTCTTCTTGCCTTGGGCTTCCAAATGTTGTGATTAGAACAGCACCTACCAAGTATACTTTTTGAAATCAGAATTTTTCTCCATAATTTTTGAAGTATCTTTGTAAAACATAGCTCTGACTTCAATGGGAACAAGAGACAAATGATTTCAGAGGGAGATATAAATGACCATTGCCTAGGAACACTGATTGAGATGCTCATAGATGCTGTGTTCAAACATGCAGCAGTTTAAGTAAGTTTTGTGGTAATGGAACAAAATAAGTTCATAAACCAAGGCACTTTTCAATTACTTTGGTGAAAATATTAAGTATATGGGTTATAGCAAAGTGGGGACATCTCTACCATAGACAGCAGATAATATATCATAGCATGCTTAGCCTTTGGGATGGTGGCAGCTAGTGGTCTGTCAATATATTCCAAGGATTTATTTGTTAGTTACAAGGATGCTGCTCAAACACTAACAAGGACAATTAACAATTAGGTGACCAACAATAGTCCAGGGTAGTTGGGACTCAAACCACAACATACCAATTCTTCAACACCATGGAGGTTCTAGGCAGATGGTTTTCCCCTTGGAACTTCAGTACACAGAAAGTAGATTTTTAAGGACATGGGAGAGGAAATTTTTATTTTTATACTTTTATACTTTTATTTTTATACTTTTGTAACACTGTTCCTTGGATGTACTCAATCATCCCACCACTAAACTCAGAATAAACATTAATTGTCAACCACTGTTTCTTACATTGTTGTTTTTTGAGATGCAGGGAGATTTTTTCCTTTTTGTTAACTTATTGCTTGAGAAATTTATACATGTATCTAACACACTGTGTTCACACTCACCACCCTACTTACTCTCTTATTTAGCTCATCCCGAATCCTACCTTTTTAACCAACCCACTCACTGTAGCATTCCGTTTGTTTGGTTTTCTGTTTTGTTCTGTGACCTACTGCATTTCTTGGCTCTCTTGTTCTTTCTTTTCATTATTTTCTTGGCAGATCACCAAAGTACAGGATCACAGCTTGCTTTGACCCAACCACGAGTCCAAAGGTGTAGACTAACATTTGTCACATTGAGCTGCCTCCCAAAAATCCTACTTTGATCTCTAATATCCCTCAATGAGCTGATTATGTACTTACAGGTGTAGTGGCCACTAGTTTTCTTCACTTTCAAATACAGATTGTAACTAAAGACAGATCTCTCCATCTCTGAAAATCTCCACTGCTTGTGAAGGAACTAGGAATCTATAGCAGAATATATCCCTGTGGGATGAATGTCTCTGTTTACATTTAGCACTATCCTGACATAATTCTAAGCCATTCTTTTCCTGCAAACCTTTGTGCAATGAAATTAACAAAAGACCAGATCATGCTGCAAGCTCTCCATTCTGTATTTGAATAACTCTCAGATACCGAGTAGGATATAGTGTGGGGCCATCCTGCCTTTAGACTATAGTCCACAGGACCTCACTGGGGAAATAGAACCCCAGATGTTGCCTAGAAGCTCAAAACTCAGGTGGCCCCTCAGCTAAACAGTTGTGATCCCCAGGAAGGATGTGGGTTGTCACAGATAGGAGATGGTTCTTATGCAGGCTGTTATAGAAACTCTAATGTTGTGCTCAATCCAGAGAGCACAGTAGTAGATGCCTTCATCTTTTTTCTTCAAGAAATTTACTTTCAAAATTGAAGTAGAAGTTTGAACATCTTTACTTGCTTCCATTTTCTTGTTTACTCCTTCTAAGGGGCGTTCATTATAGTTCGTCCTGACATATATTAGATACTCAAACTGTTGATTTGGTTTCTGCCGGTACCAATGTATATCTACTTTGCTAAAGTCTTGAAGAGAAACCTTACAGGATATTTGGGCACTCTTATCCATTGCTCTGGTGACTGATATTTCAGTTTGTTCCAACTGCCCAAGCCCAACTGCAAGCAAAAGAAAATCTCATGAACAAACAAAACATCATTTGAAGAAATGGAAATAAGGATGACTTCATTGCCTCTTGCACATGAAAATGTCTACTTACAAACCCAGAGACAGGATAAGGTGAATCCACTCAGGAGCAACATCCCAACTGTATAGCTGCTTCACAAGGAGGCAGGAAGTAGTCTGTGAGCTGGAGTCTCAGGTCACAAGCAGGAGGGTGGGGCTGTCCTAGTGTCTCAGATAACTGCAGGGCCAGTGGATACCCCTGGGTGGATCATGATCTGCTCCAGTTCTGAATAGTAATGGGGTTTCCTGTCCAACAACAGCAAGTCAAATATATCTGTGGGTTAAAGTTCTAAATAACATCCTTTTTCTGTATGTCTTCATCTGGTACATTGTAGGGAGAGTCACCAGTCTGTCCTTCACTCTGCTGTAGGTGTGTTGCCCGGAGACCAGAAAGAGACATTTGCTATACTCTGTCTATGTATTTGTGATTTTATATTGATTAAAGACCCAGATACAAAGGCTGACCATGATGTTCTGAACCGGGAGAAAACAAAACAAAACAATACAAAAACACCTCAGATGCTGTATTTGGCAGATACTCTGTGCACAAGCATATAGATATTTTGTGTTTTTTCTATTAACTCCAAAGTCACACAGTAGAATGTGACTTGGACAATTATATTTAATTTCTTTTTATATTTTATTAAAATTATTTTTCATTTTACATACCAACCCCAGTTCTACCTCCCTCCCCTTCTCTCACTCCCCATCTTCCTCCATCCCTCATAAGGGATAAGGCCTCCTTTGGGTAATCAATACTTAATTTCTTATATAGGAACTTCAAAGAAAAAAACTGGATTAAAATTGTCAACAGGTATCAAGCAAGTCAACGTATAAAAAGTGTCATCTCCTCTTAATAGAGCTTGGAGTCAAATATATTAAGCAGAGACAGAGCCATGATTAACTTTAAGGTTAGCATTAGTGTTTCATAGCCATTAGAGATTTCTAGGCATTTGACAAGCTTTATTATATGACTTCATTTAACACTATCCACAGCCCTATGAATTGGGTGCTGTGCTCATCTCTATTTGACAAATGGAGATAGCGGCAAAGAGAAATCAATCACACATTCAATAATAATGAATTCTTAAGAATGATAGTTCAGATAAGCAAAGATCTGTTAATGAATATCTGAGTAAGCTGAAAATGTCACAAAGACACTTTCCATTTACATTTTCTTAAACTTTCCTCTACATATTTATGAATAGAAATAGTATTGCTCCCGAGAGAGAGAGAGACAGAGACAGAGAGAGAGAGAGAGAGAGAGAGAGAGAGAGAGAGAGAGAGAGAGACTGTGCATGTGCCCTCTCCCAGGAATAGAAATCTTCTTGTCAAAGAGATATAAGTTAACCTTGGTTTCTAACCATGGATGAATGGATAAAAAAATGTGAGGTGTGTGTGTGTGTGTGTGTGTGTGTGTGTGTGTGTGTGTGTGTACACACTCATGCATGCAATGAGACTTTATTCACCTATCAAAAGGAACAAATTCTATTGTTTGTAGGAACAATGATAACATTGAAAGATTGTGTTGCTTGAAATGAGGGAAACAGAGAAAGACATTTGTGTATCATTCTTCATTTCTGTTATAAGAGAGCCTTCATATACCACATATGTGTGGATGCTGAAAAATTGGTGTCAGAGATGTAGAGAACAAAAATCATGATTGATAGAGCTTGTGAAGAGTTCTGAGGAGAAAGAAATGGAGATAGTTTGGTTGAAAGTACAGGGTTCAGTTAGGCAGTGGGAATGATCTCTAATGTTTTCCAGCAGGCTAGAATGACTGTGGGCAGCTACTCCAATTCCCTGAATTATTTAAAGTATCATACTTCTGGCTCAGCTATAGCATAGAGTACTTGCTTAGCCCTGGGTTTGATTCCCAGCACTACAAAAACTGGGTGTGTAGCAAGCATATAATACCAGAACTTGAGAAGAGGAAGTCAAAGGATCAGAAGTTTAAGGGCATCCTTGGATAAATGTCAAGTTCCAGGTCATTTGGGGCTACATAAGACTGCCTCAAAATGAAATAAAACAAAATAAATATTCCACTTTATCCTGTAAATATTACTATATACAACTACTTTGTGCTGCTTACAAAATACATATTTTATTTGTTTATAATTCTGGAAACTTCTTAAAAACAGATTTTATGGTTTACTTAGTGAAATCAAGGGTGATAAAATATCCTTTGTTATTATACACACATACAGAGGCACACAGTGTATGTGTTAGTGCTGTTTGCATGTATGTATTGTGTGACTTCTTATTCTCTTCCATTGATTAACTAACGTGAGAAATACCATAGAGTGTTTAATAATCTATGTGAGTATTTAATGAAGACCAAGAGAAAGAAGCCTCCGATATTTCTTTAGCTTACATAATGCTGACTAAACTATTCAAGCTTCTATTTCACCACATGTACTTTGTCTACACTTGAATTTTTAGAATCACTAAGAGGATGACACCATTGCTGAGTGGAGGTGGCACATGCCTTTAATCCCAGCACTCAAGAGGCAGAGGTAGGCAGATCTCTGTGAGTTCCAGGCCAACCTGGTCTACAGAGCAAGTGCCAGGGTAGATTCCAAAGCTACACAGAGAATCCCTGTCTCGGGAAAAAAAGAAAGAAAAACAAAAACAAAAAAGAAGATGCCACCAAAATATGACATAAAATTGTCACATAATAGCAGCCAACACATCAGGAGTCTTCAAAATGTCATCAAGTCCTAGCATTGCTTTTATCATCAATAAGAGAAAATGAAGTATTTAAAATATATGTTGGCCTTGGTGGCACATACCTTTAATCCCAGCACTTTGGAGGCAGAGGCAGGCAGATCTCTGTGAGTTGTAGGTAAGCCTGGTGTATAGAGCGAGTTCCAGGACAGGGTCCAAAACAATACAGAGAAATCCTGTCTCAAAAAATAAACAAAAAATGCAGAGTAATGTATCACTTCCTTTTTCTGTAGAGTACTGCCTTCTACATACCATGGACTCATACTCACAGATGTCTTACACTTGACACTGAATTCTTCACATTTCTTTTTTAGCCCCAAGTTCCTAGGGTAAATCTTCTTCTGTTACTCAAAGTAACTTCTCAGAGTATTTTTATAGTGTGTTGTGTTTAATTCTCAGAATTGCTTACTACTGGGTCTTAGAGAGACCCTGATTAAAACTTTGCGTATTCATTAAGAGGATTCTGTCCCAGAGCTCTCCACTCTTAGTCCTGCTTCACTTTCACTTACTTTCATTTATCTCTGTTTTGAGACAAAGTCTCACTCTGATGCCTGGGCTGGGCTTGTGTTCTATGCTGAAGATATCCTTCTCTTTCAGTCCTCTAAGAAGTACAGGCTATAAGCTTCTGCAACCATGCCGAAGCCTCCAAATGCTGGATAGTGGTGCCCCCTTGTGTCCTGTTCTGTCACAACCTTTTCTGACTATTTTCTATTATGAACCGTTTCAGGAGATGGAGACCTTGGCTAGTTAGTTTTTTATTTTTATTATTATTTGTTTGAGGAGTAGATGAAAAATAGAAGGAATTACTGAACTAGTGAATGTACAAGTATTTAGATTTATTATGATGCCTGTGAAAGATAACCACTTATGGTGTAAATTTTGAAAAAAACTTAGTAAAGAACAATAACAAAGTACTTCACCCATTAGATTATGGTACTTCACAAATGTAAATACCATGGAAGAGGTTTAAATGCATTCAACAGCTCTTTAAGGACACCTGAATCTTACTCTGCCTGTCTGCAAGGTTTGTGTCCTTTGAACCTTCCCTGGCTTCTGTTCCTTCATCTATCTGATAACACTAAAATGAGGAATGCCCTGTCCACCAACACACACACACACACACACACACACACACACACACACACACACACACACACACACATATATATATATATACCCATGCACATGCACATACACACCACTCACTGTGTGTCTGTGACAGCCAATAATCAAGCCCAAGAGAAGTGTTAAACAGAGTGGCTGACACACACACTGAGCCTCTAGAAACCAATGGGGACTTCTGACAAATCGTGCCATATTGCTTCCAGTGATCTGTGCAGGTCAGCTGCCACAGTCATCAGCCAAGTTTGTCATAGGACATCCCTCAGAGATAGGCAGCAGGAGGCTCCAAGTAAGCGGCTAAGAGAGTGAAATAATGTGGGACCATCCTTATGTGCAGGTATTGTTGAGTTGAGAAATGATACCAT